TTAAGTATTTGATATTTAACCGTAGGAGTCTCACCACAGAATTCACGCACGATCACAGGCACCAGGTTCAATCATGGAACTCTCTGCAGTTGGAGCATCGTGGGCGTTCGAGGTTGCTGCAGCCGATAGGAATTGCAGGGGCAGATGCAGTTCTCTCGAGGTCGTCCGTGTTGATAGCCAAAGTCGGATACAGGGGGTCAACAGATTGGGTCGTCGGGGGCACTCTGGCAACAGGACGCTCCATGGCAATGTTGACTTGAGATTTATCCTTGAGATCGCTCGTCTCGGAGGTGGCTCCATCGGCAGGCTCTGGCGATCGAGGTAGGTTGGGTTTCCCCAGGTGCAGCAGAAGGTTAGTGATGGATGCGAAGACTGCTCCTAACAGATGCAGGCTCCATCCGTATACAGAGTGTAGCGTATAGCCATGTATGGCAGTATCTACAATCAATTTGAAAATTCTGAGCACCATATATATTCCAATGACACCTGCGCTGGCAGTTCCGAAAGTTATGAAACCGCCCCACAGTTTTTCACCAGCGGTGGTTGTGATCTTATTCAATGTTTCTTCATCCAGGAATCCCGTCAGCGAGATACCAGATGAGGGGACACGATGTCCGGTAGCGGTCCTAGCGAACGTGCTGAGGAGGGCAGGGGTCTCGACCGGGAACATGATATGGTCACGCAGCCGGGAGATGTCCTCCTGGGAATAGATTCCACTGTCGGCTAAATGTTCTGCGTCCACGTACTTCCATTCTGGTTTGGTCATGGGTTCTAACATCTGCGGTGGAATCATGGCTGCAGGTTTCGGCGTTAAACTTATCCATCCTCCTTTCACTTTAAACATGTTTGGGAGCAGCGGGTTACAATCTACGGGAGTCCCGCTGCCAACTAAAATGTGAGTCTTAGGCGTTAAATACATTGAATTATTTCCTACAACTACAGGTAATTCTACATAACAATTTTCAGTTTGGCGACGTGTAAGTTCCGTCGGAATACATTTAATTATGTGGGCTACTTCGCCAGCTACGGTGGCCATATATCCAGGCCCCTTCATCAAGTTATAAGCGAAGAGATCAGGTCGATCATGAGCTAGTGATATAGCGTTTTTCAAAACTTGTTGTTCTAACTTACATTTCTGGAAAAGGATATTTTGATAAAGATCTTGCATTTGAGTCTTTAAATGTTTTTCTACATAAACAAATTTTGAATTAATATAAGTAAAAATGTCTAAATTATTAACAGAGATAGTACCAGGTTTAGCAAAAGGATTATCTGGGCTGGTTTCTACAATTAAAAGTTTCGGATGTTCTGTCTGTATCAAGGTATAGCCACAAACGTTATATTCAGTTTTCTTTGATAATGCAAAAGTAACATCTTTAGTAGTTAGAGAGTAAACGATAGGATATAGATTGTCAGAGTCATAAATTTTGTAGGCTTGCCCTTGATATAGAACATTGTATAAATGGAAGTTACACGTTTCCACTGGTAACGAAGTCCAGAACACGTTTGCTCCGTCTTCGTCTACGCATTCGTTCTTAGATAATGTACATTGAACTCCGGAGCGGAGTGTGATATGATCCGTTTTTGTTTTAGCGGCGGCGTAGTAATCTCGAAGAGTGAAGGTGACGGATGCTTCGACGACGACGTTCCTCCATTCTCCGTACGGATCCGAGAATTCTCCTCCTTCGCAGGACCCGTCTTCGTGTGTTTTTCCCGCGAGTCCGAGGACGCGGTAGTCAGTGGAGTTTGGGCGTAGCCCTATGTTAACGGATTTTCCCAAGATGAACGAGCCCGTCTTATGCATCTGAGAGCATTTATGCTGGTCGAGCTCGAGTAAGTATTTTCGATGTCCTTCTTTCACCATGGATATATGGGAATGCATCCCACAATGAAACATGCGACGATCTATCTCGATTTTGCAGGAATATGTATAAACTTCGGTGTAGTCGGCCTTCTGAAGTAACTGAATGTGCACAGATGTAGAATTGGAAAGTATTTCAGCAGAGTGGCATTCGCCTACGTCCAGCAACGATACAGTGGTCACGTTGAATGAGGTACCTCCGCAGTCGTAACCGAGGAAGCCCAAGGCCGTCTTACCCAGAAGTAGAATCAAGAGTATGGCACGCATCTGTAATAAGTTCTGTAATTAGTTACAGGTACGTGAATATGGTAAATCGTAATCCAGAATATATAGCTGGTTCTGTCAGCCAGGATCGTCAGTGATACGCGACAAGCGTAATTTATTTGCATGGACTAAT